AAAAAAAAAAAAAAAAAAAAAAGGAAAAAGATTGAGGTCAAAAGTGACAATTTTTTATAGGGCAACCTAATAGGATTTTGTCTATAAGACATGGAGATGAGGGTAGGAGAGGGATGCGAGAAGAAATAAATTGCCATTTTACCAAGATAGCCAAAAAATGGAAGAAATGAATTAATGAGAAACAGATGGAGAAAAAAGTGGATAAAAAAGAAAAAAAACAGTTAAAAGATATTCTGAAAATCTAAATTTGACAGTTCTATGCTCAGTTGAAAGTTGCTGAGCCTAAAAAATGGCAATAAACAAAAAAACAAAAAAGGGTTCAAAAAACAATAAAAAAACCATTTGATTTTTTTCCTTTTTCCCCGTCTATTAATTTTTTGATAATCTGACCATGTTTTATATGGTAAAATGTTGATTATTTCTAGGAATCTATTGTCTAGCAGAAGAAACGAAGAAGTAAGACGGAACAACGATGTTGCTGCTGCAGTGGATTTGCTTGCTCAGTGTCCTTAGTTACGGTTTTGCTGTTGAACGACCATTTTTTGACCTTCGACGACTTATCGATGTAAGTTATTGATCTGTCGTCTTAATTTCACCCTATCCAATTGTTATCCTCATTTAAAAAGTGCAGAAAAAAAGTACTTCTTTTTTTTCTTGCATTCCACTTCAGTTGTTGGTTTCGTAATAAAAATAGTTCTTATTATGAAATTATGATTGTTAAAGAACAAAACTCATCTGTGTTTAACAAAACAAAAAAAGTGTAGATATATTCTATTATCTTTATTTAGAATAACTAAAAAATTGGAATGGAAATACTACAGTGGAGAAAAAAATATGTTTTTTCTTCTGCTTTAATGATAATTATCTAACTTAAAAAAGGGTCTCTAATCTACAAAAATATCCATAAATCTCTTAAGTTCTTTACCCCCTTCCTGTGTATCAAAAAACTGAACAGCACTGGTGTTATCAACATCTTAATGGATCCACAGGATCTGTACAGCAAAACCTGTCAATTTTGTTTTTGAAAAGCACAAGAGAGATATTACAGAATTGGAACCGGATATTCTAAAAAATTGGTGGCATGCATTACAAGAATCTACTATCGCCAATGATCAATAAAATTTTTTTCAGTATTAACTCCCTTTTTTTCTGCAGTTTATTTTACCGATTATCAGTTCTTTGGTACCATTTGGAAGAGGACAGTTAAATTGAACAAACTGAGAGTAGTGAAAGAAATTAATCAGCAAAAGTTTTTTTGTAAGCATTTCATAAAATCAAAGAAAAAAAAATAAGGAAAACTGGAAGGTAAGAAAAAAAAACAAAAGTTATAAGATTTTGGTGTTATTGGCATTGTTGGTGTTGGTGCTGCTGCCGTTATTAATGTTAAACCTGATTAGATCAACTGTAGAAAATAGTAGTATGATTGAAAATTTATTTTCAAAGATGAAAAATAAAGTTTTAAAAAAAAAAGGAAAACTGAAATAAATGGTGATAAAAATAAACTGAGAAAAAAATTATTTTTATTACATAAAAAATCTTTTGAATTGTAGTTGTCTTGATAAAAGAAGAAAAAGGCAGAAATTGATGCTTTTGGTAGTTGTTGTCGGAAAATGAAACCTCAATAATACTGAGGCTGATGGATTTGGTACTGCCGCAGACACCGATGACGATAATGTTTGATGACCATCATAATGCTTGGATTCTATTCATCGGGCAATTATCCGTCTCTGTTCATCTTTTTTATGTCGGTTCAAACCTAACAATTTAAGTTTGTAAATACCATTTCTCGTTTTTGCCTATTTCTTCAAAAAAATTCTTTTTTTGTTTATTTTAATTTTTTAATTTGAAAAAAAATAAATTGTATTCTTTTTTCATACTTTGCACTTATTTTTTTTATCATCAATTACTGCTCTTTTTTTTTGTCAAATTTTCCGCACAGCTTCTCCTAAACAAAACGATATCTGACGTGTTTTGGTCAGTCATAAAACACTATCTAATGCAAACACTGCCAGTTAACAACCGTTCTTTATTTGGTTGAAGTACACTTCAACAGAGTTGATAAAATAGTAAAAAAAGAAATAGAAGTAAATGATCAAAACTAAGACTAATAATGTGCAAATGTCTCTGAAAAAAGCAGAAAAATTCTATTATGTTTTACAATTACTACTAAAACGTCATCTAAAATTTTATTGATAAAATTGAATGTGGAGAGATCAACAAAAAAAAATTTTCTCGTGCAAAAAATTTTAATTATTCTGACTGCCGTTTAGGTGTAAAAAAAAAAGACAACTTTTTTTCTCACCAAATTTTTCCTTTTTTAATTAATCTTTTTTTTTTACATATGTATGTTTCATTTTATAAAATGTTGCTTTTTCCTTCGTTTTCTTTTCTTTTTGACCGAACAGCAACAGGAGTAAGTGTCTAGAACGAAAAGTTGCTAAAGATATCAAGATTTACTAATCTTTTATAATAATTTCTATATTTATTTCAAAGAACAAAAAAAACTTGACCGTAGAAATTACAAACTTTTTCTGAAACTCCTTCTGTCTTAACTGTTTTTCTTCTGTAATTTTAGGGTGCTCTAGAGGCGATATCTTCAGTGCCAACTAACACAGACTCAGCACCAATTCGACAATTATTACCACCACCACTTCCGCCACCGCCACCACCAGCAGTTCCAGCATCTCCGTTTGAAACTGAAGCACAACGGGAGTTGGCACGAATGTTCCACCTGCCAGCTGATATTGTAAGTCGTCTGGCAACCGCAAACATTCCATCTAGTGAAAAATACCCAGATCTATCATTCGTCACTACTGACACGCCTCCCGTTATCACTAATGTTCCAGTTGAAAGGTATAGTTAACTTTTGAAAACAACATTATGTTCAAAACATATCAAAGAATTGATGCTGAGTACTTGGTAAATATTTGTAATTTTTGTCTAACTGTTAAGTAATCACACATCTAACTTTTCCGACATTATTACTACGAATTAATTTATAATGTTCTAAAAATAAGAACAACATTCTATCAAAGCGATAACTGCCTGAGATTATACAAACAGTTTGAGTTGAGTTTCTAAACTCTACTTTTAATTTGCTTTAAGATTAGCTTTTTTTTCGAGATCAGTGCTTATTTTTGAATTTCTTTTTGTCTCTTCTTCGTGGCATTACTGAACAATTTGTCTACAAAAGAATATTTGGTTGAAATTAGCTTAATAGTTAACATCTATTTCCTTCGACTACAATCGTCGAAGTTCTAGCACTGATGAGCTGGAGTAAATCTGCTGAGAAGTGGTATTTTAAGTGTTAGGAAAATTTCTCTAGTTCTGACAGACAGATTTTGAAACTTTAAGCAGTGCTTTAATCTGTATGCAGACGCCCGAAACAAAGCCGAGGAAATCTCAAAAGCGATAATAGTTGCAAAAATTTTTTAAAGCATGAGTCAGATTACTGGAAATAAAAGAAAATAATTATTTTGTGTAAAAAAAATATTCAAAAAATTTTAGGTTTTTGAGCTATTCTAAGAATAAACATTAAAAAACAAATACAAAATTTTTTTGAAAATTCCTGATAAAATCTTAAGTAGGAATTTTTACAACTTTACATGATGATAATCTCATTCTGATAATGCAATAAGAAACTTGTTAGTTTCAGTTCTCTTGTACCTGCTTTCACCAGAAACGCAGAAGTAGTGCACCCAGCGACAAGCACGAGGAAACCAGTCATGTCATCATCAGAACCCAGCGTTTTCTATCTTGAGGTTCATTTTCTGTAATCGGACCTGTCAAATTAATGATCAGATGCCTAAGGCCGGTTTAGCTTGATACTTCTTACCCGCAAAACCTGAATAGATATATGAGGCTAAGAGTTATAAGACGGCACTAATAAAAGACGCTAAGAAAATACAAGAGAAAAAGTCAACTTTTTTTGAACTAAACCACGTAAAAAAACAGAGTTTTAATATATACACTTAGTACTTGAGTCATCTTATTACTTTTAGGGATTTTTACCTGATTCTAGAGCACCACCACGACTACAGATTGCTAAACACGAAAGGTAATCACGTGCCATTTAATATAGCTCTTCTAGCTCAAGATTATCTTCTCTTGTCGCACATTTTCATTTATAAAATTGTATATCAAAGACAAAAGAAAGATTTTTTTAAACTTAGCAAACTTTCAGGTCGGAAATAAAATTTAGATTTTAAAAAAGTTAATTCCACTATGGTTTTCACTGTAATAGCCTTAACAAACACCATTGGAAGCAAACTTTCTTCTATTTGCCACAGTCTTTCTAAAACAAATCTTATAACCGTATTAAAAGTTATAAAGATTTCCAAATCAGCAATTTTTTAGAGCAGTTTTTAAATTATGATATTTTGCTTTCATCGTTTTTGCAGAAAATTATTAAAACTTTATGAGTTTTGTTGTTAAAAAGAAATCTTTAACAGACTGAAAGTTGCCAAAACTTCTGCCATTTTTAATAAAGGTCAAAATTGAAAAAGCAAGTGATCTTTATTAAACACTAAGTTTTTTTAGCAATAATCAGCAGCAACTGAGCGAAGTTGACGTCTATGACAAACAGTCAAATTACGCATATTCGCAGTTCATCAACCCGCCTTCAAGAAACAGAGATTCATTTGCTATAGTGTCACCAGTAAGTTCAAAAAAGAAAATAACTTTTTTCTGGAAGAAACTTATTTGTTTCTTTTGAAATAAAATTGCTGACACTTAATTAATCATTTTACCATAATAGAAGTAATCTGATTAC